GTAAAACCCTGTCTTATTTTCGGGGAAACATGGTATATGGATACTACAGGAGACAGAAAGAGATTCTTTCATCACTCTAAGTCAGGCATTCAAAACTCAACTTCCCAATTGTGCAAATTACTAAAGGAATGTGTTGTCCCTTGACGTGCCTGCAGAACTGAGCAGGCCATTTCCAAAGAAGCAACACAACTTTACTAAGTTCAGTCTGCTTCGATCAACAGAAATCAGAATTGTAGTCAAGCAGTCTTTCAAAATTCAATGCCCATGCTTTTAGAACCTATTTTTGGGGTCTTTCATCTGTTTTTACTACAAAATATTAACTCAAGTACCACTCCAAAATTTACACTTCTCATTCTTTATGTTTCAAAGCAAAGTAACAAAAGTTAAAAGAGGAAGTCTTTTCCAACTGTAAGAAAATTAATTAAAATTTATATTAAAAATAATTTTAAAAATTAATATAAGACCCTGTCTTATTTTCAGGGAAACACAGTAACAATCTAAACACATGTTGACTCAGGTAGAATAAAAACACATATATTAAAAAATTCAGTATTAGTAAGCTTATGGTTAGTACAAATGTTGATAAGGGTAGCAAAAATGGAAACACTACTGGACATTCAGAAGCGAGTCTTTTATGAAACATAATTAAAATGAAGAACGAGTGAAATAAAAGAGAGCTATTAAAGATTTTTTAAAAAAAACAATCAAAAGAACATTCAATCAGAATACTATTGCAATACCTTTCTGAGTTTCTTGCTCCTCTGATAGCAGATGATAGCAGCACCCTACGCTACACACAGCTTTGATTTCAGGTTTAGCGTTAAAAAGTCGCAACGTGCTTGGAGCAAGATCACCGCAGGTATGTAGACCCACCAGTACACAGTCCTTAAAAAAGAGAGAGAGACAGAGAGAGTTATCTGAGTGGGGTAGGGTAGGATTTAAAGGGAACATGTGAAATAAATTTCTGCAGTATCAGGAGCCTGACAGTAAACAAGGTTGAGTTAATTCTACCCCATAAGAATGGTAACCTTGCATTGTTCTTTACTTCTACCCTCTTCAGAAAGAACGGACAAATGGAGAATTAGGAGTTTACTTCAGGAGAAGGAAGAGAACAGGTACATGAAGTATCACAGTGGTGATGAAGAAGTTTATAAACAATCCAGAGTGTATAAACAATCCAAATCGTGATCCATTTTCCTGTGCAATCACACCCTCAGTCTCTAGCAAAATAAGAGGGCAACTACAGAGACTTTTAACCCACTGTCTGGTCTGTTGTGGGCATGGGCTGTTTTACTCCTAAAGCTGGCAATCAGACAACATATTTTCTGAAGCAAACAAGAGCATCTCTACTTGCATTTTTCTGGCCAGTCAGGGGCTTCTACTGTTTTGCATTTTGGTTCATTTCCAGCAGGTGTGATAGCTGGAAATGAACCAAAGCAAACCTTCCTTTTTTGAACTGGCCATATCCTGAATTTGCCAATAGTGTCAAGTTGCTTAAGAGAGCAATTTTACGGTATCTGCAAATTAAACAGCTCCTTGGAGGGGCAGAGGAACTCAGGAAAAAAAAACCTTTCATAAGTGTATTAAATGTCTGTAAAAAGATACAAGACAAATGGAAAACATCTTGGGAATGGGAAGAGACAGGAGAGGTAAATGAGAGGGATTTTTGTTTGCTTTTCTCATAAAGGTCTGCTTGTGAATCTGCCCAAGGCCAAATTTAGTTTTCCATTTGTCTTTTACTTTTTTAAAGTGGTGCAGTGTATCTGCACTCCACTAACACACTTAAAACTTTTTTTCCCACTATCTCAGCCTTCTTAAGTCACTTCACAATCCTGGCAAATTGTGGACCATATAGGATTGCTTGATGTCCATATACTATTTGGATGTGAGGGTTGCACAAAATGGCAGACAGAATCAATCAAACTGAACAGCAAGTATTTAACCAGTAAATAACACTCTTTATACAATGCAAAAAACAGTCTTGTACTTCTGTTACTCAATCCAAAGAAAAGTAAATTTCATATCTTTTATACTTGTCCTTTCACATCTGAATTTTGACTACAATATATGAAACCTGTCCTGAATGCCCTGCATACTGAAGTTGTGATAATTATTAATGTTAAATTCTTGAAACCCTAAAAGATCTGCACAATTTTTTTTTTGAAAAATAGATCTCATGAAAATGTGAAAGCAACAGTGAACTAAATTTTTAGTTAAAATATGTTTCCGAAATTCATAGAGTATTATTTCATATGTTTTTATCTAGGGAACGGTGCAGCAAGGGAAATGGATGGCAAACAATTCATGAATCCAATTCTACTACACCTCTACTTATGAAAGGCAAAACAGACTCCACATTGCAAATTTCCTTTATGCTGTGACCCCACACCCCACCCCTGCTATGGAGTCTTTGTTAAAATGTCTTGAGCTCAATCAACCACCCAGTCAACTAGTCTGTAATGATAATAACCTCCAGATCAGCAACAAGATCACGTAGCTCTGTTTCAGCTGTGATGTACGATGTTAATGGACAATATATGTTGACATCTTTTGACCTGCTTGCTTTGGCTTTAAGAGAAACCATCTTCCTTCGTTCTTTCTCCTCATCACAGAGCTCCTTGCAATTACTTCTTGGTGAACAGTCAGTTTCCACAGCATCAGCAGGCAGAATATTTAGAAATACATTTTCTGGAATGTTGTTCTCAGCACTCTGCAGCTGAGCCACACAGTGAAGTTCATATTGTTTGTTAGTAATACATATATCAGAGTCTGTGAAAACATCAGCTGTTCGAAAAAGAAAGGAATCTTGAGCTGCCACCTGGGCCTGACTTTGAAGACTGTTATTGGTACTTAAGAGCTTTTCACTGGCATTTGCTTTATATTTCTCTTTATCTTGTTCTGGTCCTTGCTTTGCCTCTTCCAACAATTGGCCTCTGACATTTGCTCTTGCCCGTCTTTGATAGGCTTTCCAGTGTTTCTTCAATTTCCTATTCCTTTCATTAGCTCCATGGGTGTTTGTATTAGAGGAATCAATTCCATAAACCTTCAGATTATACTGTAACGATAGGAAGGAGCTCAAGTAGCCTTTTCCAGAACCCAGGTCAATAACCTGTAGATGACAAAAATTATTTTTAAAAGTGGTTGATATCCATATATTAACAACTAGAACCTGAAACCTATAGAAGACAAATATTTTTAAAGTAGTTCATATCCATATATTAATAACAAAAACTAGAACCCCATCTTAAAACAAGTAGAGAAAATGTATTTGTTCTATATTTTTTTCCCTTCAGTTTTAAAAAAATTACCTACAGCACATAATGGTCACATTTGGATGACAAAATCTGGATATAATAAATTGAGATGTGGATAAGCCTTCTGCACTAATCCTTTTTGCTCCTTTATTTTTTAAAAAAACAGACAAAAAGCCCTGGAAGCCACAGTTGACCAAAACTTTAGGTTACATCTGAAGTAGGGTCAATGGCTTCCAAGCCAGAATATGAAGCTAGCTTTCAAAGGGTAGAATAAAACTTTGCATACATATATGAAGCCAAGATTTGACTCTGCAAGAAGTCATAGTACAACACTGAGATGCACAAGACAGGAAACAAGTCTTTTAAAAGTAAAGTGAAGAGCAAATCGTGCTGCTTATATACCACCCCACAGCATTTAAAGCACTCACTGGGCAGTTTACAATTTAATTATGCAGGCTACACATTCCCCCTCCCCCCCGTGACCTGGGTACTCATTTTACCAACCTCAGAAGTATAGAATGCTAAGTCAACCTTGAGCCAGCTACCTGGGACTGAACCCCAGGTTGTGAGCAAAGTTTTGGCCACAGTACAGCAGTTTAACCACTGTGCCACGAGGCTCCTAGCCTTGTGGCTAGGAAAGTAATATTTGGTCTGTCATTCCCCTGCCGTCAAAGTGTGTGAGACAGCAGATATTTGCCAACTTTAGTACACTGTAGATAGACTGTTCAGATGACATTTTACCCTCTGGATTCCGGGAAGAGATCATACATTCTGGATTCATTTTTTTCAAACCTGTGTTGAAAGAAGTGTGAAAATCAAGTGGGTTGGTCCTGTTTGCAAATTAGGGATGGAAAGAAAACTCACTCAGTTCCTTATTTGCATGTTGACATGACAAACTGCTGCAGTGAGAAATTATAGCCAGGGAAAGTCCTGCGAAAATGAGTGAAACAAAGTGTTGTTCCTTTCCCAAAACTTCTTACATTTTTGTAAAATGTATCTAGTATCCTTTTGCTGTGAGAAGCAAATCACACACACACACATTCACAATCATCCATCACAGAAGGAATTGCTGATTGTTAAGAAAGATGCTAGGACCCATCCGGTGCTTCAAATTCTTAAATAAAGCGGCAACCTTCTTGATTTTTGTCTATCTGTTAAATCCAAGTAATTGCAAAACATTTCAGAGAATACAAACAATTTTGTGCAAAATTTGACATTTTTTGCATATAGCATTCTCACTACCATTAGATCTCTATTCAAAACACTTTAGAATTCCTTGCTCTCCCCGTCAATGAGATGACACATGCCATAATTCCTTATACTTATCTGTAAGAATGAAACAAGTAGGGTATGGTTTATATCCCTAGTTCAAATGAACTCATGATAATAATTAACAATATTTCCAGCATTTATGCAGTAGGTTTCAGTAGGCCTAATGTATTACTCACATTGCCTCAGGCAGAATTAAAATCAAATAGGACAGTGCTTTAGATTGGGAGTTAAGGCAAACAGTAACTTGCCCTAGGTAACCCTAAGAAGCTCATGGGCAAGGTAATACCTGAATGTGCCTTCTCATTTTCCTGCTTACATACTGTCATGAAGAGTCCCTATACTACCACCATCTCTTTAGTTTTGCCTTGTATATTCATCCACTTCTCCCAGGAGGATAAACAAAGAAAGCTTTCTTGGGTTCCATATTTTTCAGGAACCTTGTCCAGACAAATTTGTGTGCTTCTGGAAAGTGGATATCTCTAGGAAGTTCATCTCTGCTCATAATCACAGTTGTTAGTGAGAAGTGACTGTTAGCAACCTGTCCTCCTTACACACAGCTCTTTGTTACTGTAAGAAAGGATGACCAATTAAAGTGCACTTAAATCTTCTAAGTAGAACATTTTATCGGCTAATATTACCCATCACAAAATGCTTACATGTTTTGAACTGAGCTTAATCTACATAAAAATTAGGTGCAGGATTTGCCCTTTTTTTTCAAGGAAGCATTTTGGAATAAAAATTTAATCAAGTACAACAAATAACCTGAATTTAGAAAACCTAAGAGAGAACATGATTTTGCCTCAAATGCCTTTTAAAAGAAAGTATTGGCAGTTAATACTCCAAACTTAAATAATTTAAATATTTCAAACTAGAAGAGAATATACAGAAGAAAAATAACTAATATTTCCATATAGGAAAAAGCCACTTTGCTTTTCATGAATTTTCTAGCTAAAACAAAGGTTTGAGAAGATGGAATACGTATACCTTTACATTTAAACAATCCCCTCTTGATTATGTATAATCCATACCAAATGTCTCCATCTAGAACACAGACGAAACAAAATTATGATGCTGTGTCTCAAGAACTACCGTGAAGCCACTATATTATATATTAATTCAATGCATCGTACTTTTTTCACCTTCATTGTGGCTTCCAGCTGCCATTCACCACTCATGTGCAAGCAGCATGGTTCTATACAGCAAATGTTGTACTTTACTGACCTCTAGTGCCTGTCAACTTGCCAGCAATGTCTTGGGAAGCCAATTATACTGACTTTCTAAACAATTTAAAAACATACTCACCCACACGATCACATTTAATGAATATTTGTGTTCCCTTTGAAAGGTGCAGTGAAAGTTAAGTTCAGCACGGTGAAATGAAAGGCACTCAAAAAAAGCTAATCCCTGCTGAAATAGTACTGATTAAACTTTGCCATGCAATGCAAATGTAAACTATTAAAATGAAAGCTCCAAGACATAATGAAAACTTTATGGATAAAGTAATAAATCCATATATAGTTCTTGTAAGCAACAAGGCAAAAACTTCAATGTAACAAAGCAAAACACTTTTTAGCAAGTAAGCTTCAGTTCAAAAAAGAGCTTTATTTTTACTGTTCAATTGATATTAGACTGACCTTTTACAATAGAATTACAGAGGGCCTGAAGCCTGACCCTATTTGGTAATCCCAGCTCAATCAAAGGGATCTACATATACATGAACATACAATTCAACAATTGGCTCAATCGGTTTACACTAGTTTGGGACTAGCAACTGGATTTCGGCCTATGTTTTTATTTATTTACTTATTCAAAACTGACTGAGTATAGTTCAGTGAGTTGGAGCACCCACCTGAAGATCCAGGAGTTGGGAGTTCAAATGCAAACTGTGCCTCCTGGGAGAGGGAGCAACTAAAATAACCAAGAAGCATGTGTTGCTCATGAGGTTACCTGATTTGACTATGTGGCCTTGGGCAAGCTACATAGTCCTACAATGACAACCAAAGGAGGAACTGCTAAGCCACTTCCAAACACATTATTTCGCTGTGGGCTAAACCGCAGAAGCCTGTGCTGCAGGGTCAGAAGATCCGCATGAGGTTACCTGATTTGATTATGTGGCCTTGGGCAAGCTACATAGTCCTACAATGCCAACCAAAGGAGGAACTGCTAAGCCACTTCCGAACACATTATTTCTAGTAAAGTAATGGGGGGGGGGTTGTCATCATATATCTGAATTAACTTCATCACACATAATAATTATCATCTTTATTGGTCTTCAACGCTACTATAAAAATTTTTGTTTTATGTTGTAACCTTATTACTTTTCTCTAGGAAGCTGGGCTGAGGCTGAAGGCCAGGTATGTTTGCATGGACATTTTGCTGAGTAGGTTTTTTTCTGGGCTTTCTTTTGGTCCCCCACCGCATGGCCTGGGGGTGGGGTCTACGAGGTGGGGCTTTATGCTTTAAATGAGCGTGTCCCAGGACCCTGGGCCCTTTTCCCTAGGAAGCTGGGCTGAGCTGAATGCCAGGTATGTTTGCATGGACATTTTGCTGAGTAGGTTTTTTTCTGGGCTTTCTTTTGGTCCCCCCCCCCCACCGCATGGCCTGGGGGTGGGGTCTAGGGGGTGGGGCTTTATGCTTTATATCTACGTGTCCCAGGACCGCGCACATAGTGGCGCACGAAATTCTCAAATTCTCTGATTCTATCTCTGGCCCTAATATGGTAAATAGGAAAGCCAATTAGATTTGCATACACCTGGGAGGCAGGAAAGTTTTAACGGTCGGATCATACTTCTGCACTATTAAAGAGCAGGCTGGGTAGGTGGGGCTCATCAGCCATGGAAGGTAGCCAATCTCGGAGAAGTAAAACTCTGATTTCAAACCTCCACTACCTTGTGGCTATATCCACTCATGGAAAAGGCTTCAGGAGTTAACCTAGAGGCAAAATCCGGGGCTGGAGTCCCGAAGGCAGTTAGTGTCGTTCTGCCAACTCCTGCGACGTTCCTGGAACCGATTGTATTGGCTCTTCCTTTTCCACTGGACCATTTCAGCAACATGGAGAGGGGGAATCTGCTGCTTGGGTAACAGCCTATCCTCCATATTACTTTACCCAGGCTTCATGCTCTGGAGAGGACACTCAATTCAGAGCATGTTACCATAGTCTCTCGAGACTGAAGGATGCCTATGATATCAACTTGTTGCAAAAAATCCCTTATAATCAAAAAGATAAACATCATTGTAGTAATTAGAAAACAAACAAATGCACATACATATGTGTAACATGCAAGAAGGAAAATGCAATGGAACAGGCAGTTTGTCTAGTATCTCCTTTTCTGCTTCTGTGGAACTTGGTCCTTTCTGTCACACTGATCTTGCAGTTTGGATGGCCAATCATGAGCTGGCATCAGGGCAAGCCAGCTGGTACAGATGAGAGGAAACTCTTCCTCTTTCTGGTCTTCTCCCAAATATTTAACAGACGTTGGATCTGGCGGAGCTCAGTGCCTTTCTCTCTCTTTTGTCTGCAGCTGGTCATTCTGTTTCTATTGATTGTCTTCAATCGTGTGTAGGCATCATTCGGTCTCGAGAT